ATTCGCCCATCATCTTGATATATTTAGCCCTAACCTAACCTAACGTTCGGCTTATCCACCAATAAATGAACAACAGTATTTTTAAAATACACATAATAGGTAACGATGAATTCAAGATAGTAGATACTATGGGCGCAATTTACTATACCCCCGTTTTAGACCCCGAAAAATCCCGGGCGCAATTTACTATAGTATTTTTACTACCTATACTTAATGTGGGCGCAATTTACAAGCGCCCAAAATGGGACGCAAGTTACCGATCAAATTTACTACCTGTAAAATACATCTTTTTTTGGGACGCAAGTTACATGCAGCCTAATGAAGWAGGTACGTGTTAACTGTGATGAGTGTAATGCATGTTGTCATAGGAGAGTATCTTCTTCGGCTACGAGATATCATTGTGTGATTAGAGTGTCTGTCACCTATAGGTATTCTATTGACTATAACTATGTATTTTTTGGATATTATGACTGATTTGGGCTTTGGGTTCAGATAGTGTAAACTGTGTGATCTCTTTAAATGTATTAATTTGTTAAGTTAATTATTAGTTTTATCATTCAATAATGTAATTCGATTTATTTTATTTTATTTTGTAAATCATTTTTTTCAGGTGTTGCGCAAAAMAAAAACAAATTATAGGTATCTACGTTTATATAATATCAAATATTTTATGTCTCAAAGAATATTCGGACGCTAAAAATAGGTTACTATTTATAGGTTAACTATTTTGCATGTTTTGCATTTTTTTTTGCATATTTCGATATTTTTTAGTGCATATTTTCATACAATTTTAAAATTTAAAATCCATATAAATCCGATTATTAATTATAATAAATAGGTATCTGGTATATCTGAAACATATGAAACACTTCGCTTATAATTATCGATAGATTTTAGAATTATGAAAATAATATACTCATTATTTACGATAACATATTTAAAATGTATAAAAAATTCGTATTATTACAGCTAAATAAAATAAATAAACTATTTAATTGTGTTATATTTTAAACTTTTCTCTGTTTACAATTATTAAATTTATTCAACTGTATTGGAAATATTCAAATATATCACTACATTTAATAAAATTATATTTCGTTTAAAACTCTTAAAATAATTTAAAGATTGTGATCACTAATATTTCAAGTTCAATGAATAAACAATTTAGAATATCGATTTATTGTAATAAAAAAAGACTTTGGTTCTGTTTATAATTCATGGAAAAACTTTTATTTTAATCTGAAATTCATTATAACGTGAATTGAAGTAAATTATTCTGTTATTTGGTTTGTTAGAATTAAGTGGATTTAGTGTGTTATCACTGAAAATATTTACTGCGCTTTTTATCGCATAAATATATTTTTATATTAAATATTATAAAATTGAGTAGAATATAAACTTATTTCAATAGAAAAAAGATAGAGAACCTAATTTAAGAAAAAATGTATAGTTAATGATTATAATGCTTATCATCAAATATTTTGTTTGAATACAACAACTGTTAAATACAGTATAATATTTGAAATACATTTAATTCTATTAAAATTAATAAACTATTTGGAATATTAAATTGGATATTTAAATAATAGATTTTCTAGCCTTTAGGCACAATGTATAAATTTATATAAGCCTAACATTTATTTATTAAATTTGTTTTAATTTTATTATATATCTATTACCTACACTCATGATAATTGTTTTTTAAATAATCGAYTCAATTAATCCTGTTTTGAAAAACCAATCAATTGCATTATTAATTTTATTTTTAGATAAAAAATTAAATACTTAATACGAAAATTTGACTAATTTATATCATTATACTTTTAGGTATTGCCTATTCATTACAGTGGCGGATTTGAGGGGGGCGACGTGGCGATTACCCCTCCCTAGGGAATTTTTTCACTTAAATTATAGCGCCGTATGATAAAATTAATATGAAATTCATAAGTCATAGTTTTAACATTAAACTTATAAATAAATTATACAAAAAATATATTTTTTTTTAACACGAAAATCGGAAATGTGTATTCAGTTACGTCTTTGTTATTACCTATCAATCTATGATACCAATGCGACCCCTATTCAAATGATCTTCAGATCCGCTACTGATTCATTATTGGTAACACAAATTATTTAAAAAATGATTATCTGCATTTATTAATATATTTATTAGAAGAATTGCTTTACTATTAATTGATAATTACAATGTATAATACCTACGAGCTGCGACTTATACTTACATCATATATAGAAAGAGAAGTCATGTGTTAATAATATACTTGATTATTTTTCTATTTTGTTCGAATGAAAAGTTTTTTTTTCTATTTTTATTACTTCGAATGAAATCTAGATTTTGTTTCAATACAAAGATTTTCAGCATTGTTTCGTAAGTGGTTATCTTCCCGGGTATTCCCTTAGGCATACTTCTTATTCATTGAAATAAATACAATGAAATACTATGTTTAAAATGTTGAGTGAAATTCGAAACTTTGTGGTTAGATGCGTCATAATATAATTGTTTTTTAGCGACAAGGATTTTTTTGTTTTAATATTATTTTATATAATTATACTAAAATTAGATATTATACTGTGTTGAATATTAAAATAAAGTACATTATCATCTAGATTATACAAAGTAACTAATAAATGGACATTATTTTACACAAATTGGAAATCAATATATATATATATATATATATATTGATATATATTGATTTGTTTGTGATATATGTACATGCATTGTTAACTTATAATTGATTAATCAATATAATTAGAATAATACTACCTTTATAGTTAAAACAATTTTCTGAATACTGAATAGTGACATTGGAATAGTGTAGGAGTTGCTTATAGTTTTAATTTCTATGACAAGAAAATGTGGTTATTGAAGATTACTAATTTATCGTTTCATAATTATTAAAAGCTATACAATATATTTCAAACACATAATATAAGTATTCATTGTATTTTTAGATTAGAAAAGAGGATAATAGTTATTTTTGAAAATTGCAGACGTCGAAGCTAGTATCATATACTATATAATCTTGTACTATTGTGATTACATAAATACATTTTCATCGTAAAATATGTTTGTAATCATGACATATTATTATCAGTTTCCAAAATATTTATGCTCAATATATATGAAAAATAAATAAATAAAATATTCAATTATACAGATTATGATGGTTATTAATAATAATGATATTAATACTCAATAAACTTATTTATGTAGCATTAAGTATTTATGTAAATATATGATTTCGTACTTTCCTTTTAAAATATATGCAGGATAAGTTTTTAAGTTAGTTAGTTTGACCTCTGTTATATATAAATTAAAAAACCCATATTATTACAATTTACAACACAAATTTAATATTTTCAAGATTCGTAACATGATAGCTTTATGTATATATTTATAAAGTGAGTGGAATAACCATTTTGGCAGCAGTATTTTTTTTATAATAATTTATAAGTCACATATAAATTATTTATTATACTGAGATACATTTCTAAGGGTGTTTAAGCTATGCATTTTGTAATTTTAATTTTTTTTTTTTATATAAAAAAGAGTTCTGATACAATAAAGCACGAAAATTATTTGAGGGTGTTAATTTTAAAATTGGGATGCTAATATCCATTATTTTCTCTTAATATGTGTAATAGACTATAATAAATAATAATACAACGGAAACTGGAAACTGAAAAGTAACAATATGTCTATAATTTTATTTAAAAATATTTATAAATTTATAATAATCATAATATATTGACAGTTATAACCATATTTCTTAAATTTATGTGTTACGATGTATTATTTTATATATTTTTTTAACTAACATACATTTAGTTCATTATAATTTTAGAACTTACATTTTTAACATATTTTTGAATAACTTTAATCCTATTTTTAATTCAAAAACTTGATATAATTTATTACTAACTTGATTTTTTTTTATTGAATATAAAAACCAAAAAGTCTTGAGGTAAATACTAGGTACATAGTTTGTTGCAATACTCTGGTAATAAGCATTTTTAATATGATTTATGATTTATTTATTTATTTATTTATGGATTTAACACTGGATGGAAATTTTGATAAGGTGTGTAATAGAATTACAAAAACCACAGATAAAATTATAGCTTAATATAAGTATTAGGTAAATTATCTGGAAAACTTGTTTAACATCCTATGAATGGGATGATTATTGTGTCCATCTTCAGTTGTATGAGTAAATACTGCAAGTAGCTGAAGATTTCTTAAGTTGTAAGGATATATATATAGAAACAGCCATGAGAAGGATTTTAAGAATGAACGGAACATAGCGTGAATATTTGTTTATTAGACACGATGTAATTGCAATTATTAGTCCTTCAACAGAATCTACGGTTGCAAAAATACTCCACTGTATTCGAAAATAGATTAAACCAAGGCTGAATGAGGGTTAAAGAGCCGGTATCAGGGGTAAAAGTTAGGATATTTGACTTGTTGAAACCCAATACTTTAAAAGCTTTATAAAATGTTGTGTTGATCGAAATTTAGAGAAGAAGTGACGACAATTCCAGGAATGACGTAGGTCGTTTATTGAAGTAGAATATCGTTTAAGAAGTAATTAAACTGAAATGAGCATACAATTCTGGTGAAAGATATGACGCCGCATTTTTTGACGTTAAGGTTAGGCGCTTAACATTCAGCGGGTAAAACAACTCTCATGAAAATCTTGATGTCATTGGTGAATAATATAATTTTTGCCCTGATTACCTAATTCAATCGAAAAAGCAAAATCTTTGAAGAGAACAAGGCTTAGATTGCTTAATTGGTTAATGCTGGAAATAACCACATAAGGGCAAGAAGCCAATTCATTAAACTTAATAAATTCAGTGTTGGAGGCAGAGAAGGGGTTTTATACCAGACAGGAGGTATTTTCAAATGCAACGATCTTCGAGWTACCTTATTAGAGGCAATGATCAAATACATCAAATTCTTTCTAAAAGTCGTTGAAAATCATGCCCACTGTCCATCTAATATTCGTAATTTAATAATTTAAACTCTCTAAATTATATGATGTGTGTACAATAATTATACAACAGTAAATTTTCCTGGTCAAAATCTGTGTTGTTAAATAACTATTAAATTATTAAGATTTCTGTTGATATTAGCAAGAGCAATAAGTTTAAAAATCTTGTATAAGTTGGAAAGGATAGAAATGGGAACGAATATTRGAAGATAGTCAACATTTAACTCTTAATCTTAAGATTAATTTTTTTTTATTCAAATAATTTTTATGTTAACGATAAAATAAAAATTCGAAATTGTACATGTTAAAATTTAATTGTTTGGTGGTTAGGGAGATAATAATAATAAAACAAATTGTACAATGTTAAACATAGTATAAAGAAGGTAAATTAATAAATCCCACTAAAGAGATTAACTGACCGAGTCTAATAGGATAGAATATAATAAAAGTTTTTTATAAAATAAATATAAAACGATTTGTACAGGTATTTAGCTCATTAAACAATTAGGGTATAAACGTACAATATATAATTTCATGTAGGASCAATCTGAGGATATAGAATATAGAATTTTTATTTTATATACATAYATAATATTTTATAATTTTATAAAAATTTCATTGGTTATTACTCACTTAGAAATCTTTAAATATTTTATCATAAGAATAATATCCAGATCCATTATGATATATATTATTTACTACAAAAATGTTATTGTTATTTGTTTTAGGTGATAACAACACTTGTTAACTTATAATCAATTCGAGTTATTTGAAAAACACCAATGTGAATGGTAAGTGATAAAATAAATGGAAAAATATATGAATTACAAAGTGTAATGTAGGGTACATAATTTTTAATTACTATAAATACGAAGGATTAATATACTAGTAGTTTTCAGAAAATATACATTTTTTTTTATTGCATTTAAAAAAAGTATTTCGTGATTTAAATTTTCGCATTTTATATAATGCTATTTTTTCACAGACTATTGTGGTGAAATAACTAAAAACTTTTGATTTTTAAATGATAAGTTTTTTATTTCCTAATATAAAGTAGATGCTACTTTTGAATGTTTTGATGTTTATTAAATTTTTAACTAAAAGGTTTTTTTATACAATTTTTATAAAATATTGATTTTTAAACGCGTATTCTGCATTAAATTATAATATTATAATATAGGATACAATTAAAACTGTATTAAGTTTATAATGAATCCATCAAAATACATTATAACGCCAAAAAGTAACAGTTATATACAATCATACGCATCTTACATATTCCAAATTTATTACAAGACTGTGTTGATTATTTTGCAGATTTTGGATTTTTTTTTCATAATGATATCTTATACTATATTTTACATAGTTTAAACCTGTAATATTACTGATTTTAAAATGYTTTATTTAATGAATTACCTATTGTAATTTTTAAATGTTCACATTTGTGATAAGAGAATTTTAATCTAAGCTAATGCTTTACATAGAGACATCATTAGAGACAAAAGATTAATGAACTACATTTGTCATACCGTAGAAAACTATTCATTACAATGTCAGAATTCATATGTACATTATTAATAACATAATATTCTATATTGATAAAAGTTTATATTTTTAATTTTATTTAGAACCATACAAATATTTTATTTTTCTAATAATATGTAAKAAATAATAATAAAAATAAAAATATCATGACGTGTAAAAGATATTCAGAGTTTAGACTAAGTCCAAAAAAAAAAATTTGAAATTTGAATTCAATATTTTACTATATAATGTATTGTAGATTATAATTTTAAACTAATTTTTTTAAATTTTAAATTTTAATAATTTAATTCAAAGCTTATATGGATCCATTTGTTTAATATTAATCTTAAAACATATATTATTTAAATCTAAAACAATCTTAAATTGTTATGTTACGCGTATATGATCCAAAGATATATTTTATAGTTGCTTTATAAATTAGATTCAATATTTATGTGACCTTTTATCTTGTAGGATAATGAGTCAGTGATATAAATAAATACCTTTAGTTTTTATATTTTTAGTAAATTCTATGAAAATTAATTTAAAATAAAATGGATTAGGCATTATTTATGATTATTTTTTCTTGTTAAGCTAAAAAACATCAACAACAAAGGTTATTAGTTTTTTTTATTTTGAAATCATATACTTTAATTTAAAAATTGAATAGGTGTTTAAAGTTAATATAGCCATAAAAATAAAATAATACATTTATTATTATACATAATAATATGCAATACATAATATATACTATACAGTAATATTAACGTACAATCACGTTATAAAAGTTTTTTTTTTTTTTGTGAAGGGTTTTCGAATATTTTGAATGTTAAAAATGATCGTATGCTTTAGATACAATAGTATTTTCATTGTTCAGAACTTATTGAAATCTGCTTTAACTACTGTATTAGCATTAAACATTTAAATTTAAAAAAAATATATTTTAATACCGTAGTGCTTATTCCTAGTACGTATCGCTTAGGTAAAACTATATTGTATTCACAGTATTGTAAGCTTTTTTTTTAAATTAGGCATTTACATAATATTTAAATATAAATATAGTCAGATAGATTACCCTATGTCCTTTTGGCCTCCACTCAACTGCCAATGCACATAATCGATTGACCGTCGTACGCCACCTACAAGTTTTATTATCTTCCGTGTTCAAGCAATCGATATGCATGCTTGCTTGTGACTTTTAGCAACCACTGCATAGCAGATTTCACCTGTATACGGTGCGCAACAGTTTCTCGACTTTCATCATCATTACCTACATTTTAATACAAATGCAACATTGTTGGTATTCAGTCGTTTCATAAACTTTCAATTTGAATAGTGTGCTTTTTTATATTAAGTGGAGATAACTGAACATACAAAAATAATTTGATTATAATACATTACTAACCTTCATACTAACCTTATACACATCTGAAGTTTATTTTTTATACTTGAGTATGAATAGCAATTTAAATAATTACTAACCAAGATTGATGTTAAATCATAAAATTTTCTTTAACGCTTTTGTGTTATATTATCTTGAAATTTAATAMATTTAATAAATATATACATTTTTTTAATGTAATTATTATTTTTTTAACTATTCATAATAACACTTAAATTATTTATGCCATATTCAACCGAGATTTCGAATGGTTTGTGTTTAACAGTAATACATGGTAATATAACTACTATAATAGGTTTAAACTAAATATTTAGTTTGGATTTAATAGCCGACAAAAATCAAAAATAGAAATGAAGTAAGAGATAACAACTATTGAAATAACTGAATTTAAAATTGTATTATAATAGCATCATTTTTAAGATTAAAAATTAAAAATTAGGATCAATATTAGCAAGATGTATATTACATATCATACAAAGATATWTTTTTTTTCCGTTATAAATCGTTTCACGAGGGTGACTCGTTTTAAATTACTTGTTTTGCGTTACTTAAATTTACGAGTGTTTATGCTAATGTTTGTTGCATAAAATAATTGTTATAATTTAAACATAAAAATGTGCCCAAAACCTAGTTATACCTATTTTGTTTTCATTTTGAATCATTTAATTATCAATCACTGCTTAATGAGTAATGTTTGATTGTTAGATTCTATAAATATTATTATTCTATCAATTGTATTGGCATAAATAATAGATTAATGATGGTAAATATTTTTAGACCAAAGATTTAATTTAGT